TTTTTCTTTAAGAGACAGGGTCTTGCTCTGTTGCCCAGCCTGGAGTGCAGTGGCAAGATCAGCCTCCTGGGCACAGGCTCTCCTCCCACTTCAGCCTCCTGGGTAGCTGGGACAACAGGCACGTGCTACCTCATCTAGCTAATTTTTAAACTTTTCATAGAGATGGTGTCTTGTTATGTTGCCCAGGCTGGTCTCTAACTCATGGCCTCAACTGATTCTCCTCCTGCCTTGGCCTTGCAAGTGCTGGGATTACAGACGTGAGCCACTGTGCCTGGGATCCCTATATATTCTTAAGTGGAATGAAGGGAGGTAAGACTTGGGCTGGGAGAGTGGAGAAAATAAATAGTCTACTGAAGGTCCTAAGATGGTTATGATGGTAGCCTCCACCATCAGCCCAGCATTTTTACATTCACAATTTTATTTGATGTGGTCTATACTGAAAAGGTGAGGCTGTGTGGGGGAAGGGAAGATCATTTTTAAAAGGCTAATTGTCTAGGAAAATTCTGCCTGAAATTCAAGTGATTGCTTGAGGAATAAAGCACTTTGTAATTCTATCTACAAAATTCAAAGGGTATGATTTAAAATTAGATTCTAGGCTGGGCATGGTGGCTCACACCTGTAATCCCAACACTTTGGAGGCCGAGGCCACAGGATCACTTCAGCTCAGGAGTTTGAGAACAGCCTGGGCAACACAGCGAGACTCCATCTCTACAATTTTTTTTTTTTTTTTTTAATTAGCCAGGCATGGTGGCATGCACCTGTAGTCCCAGCTGCTCAGGAAGCTAGGTGGGAGGATCGCTTAAGCCCAGGAGTTGGAGACTGCAGTGAGCAATGATCGTGGAACTGCACTACAGCCTGGGCAACACAGCAAGACCTTGTGTCAAGAAAAATAATTTTAAAAATGAAAGATAGAGGCCGGGCACGGTTGCTCATGCCTGTAATCCTAGCACTTTGGGAGGCTGAGGTAGGCAGATCGCTTGAGGCCAGGAGTTCAAGACCAGCCTGCTAACATGGTGGAACCCCATCTCTACTAAAACAAAATACAAAAATTAGCTGGGCCTGGTGGCAGGTGCCTATATTCCCAGCTGAGGCAGGAGAATCACTTAAACCTGGGAGGTGGAAGTTGCAGTGAGCTGTGACTGTGCCACTGCACTCCAGCCTGGGTGACAGAGCGAGACCCTGTCTCAAAAACAAAACAAAACAAAACAAAAAACCCAAAAAGATAGGCTGGGCACAGCGGCTCATGCCTGTGCTCCCTGAGAGGCTGAGATGAGCGGATCACTTGAGGTCAGGAGTTGCAGACCAGCCTGGCCAAAATGGCGAAACCCCGTCTCTACTAAAAATGCAAAAATTAGCCAGGCATGGTGGTGCATGACTGTAATCCCAGCTACTCAGGAGGCTGAGGCAGGAGAATCCCTTGAGCCTAGGAGGCAGAGGTTGCAGTGAGCCGAGATGGCACCACTGCACTTCAGCCTGGGCAACAGAGCGAAATTCTATCTCAAGAAAAAAAGACAAAAATTAGATTCCATATTATTTCCTAAAAAATAAGTATAAATCTAAAAAAATTAAGGATGTATAATAAGGCATCTGAGCACAAAAATCAAAGTTTTAAAATCCAAATTTTAAAAAATCAGAGGCTGGGTGTGGTGGGTCATGCCTGTAATCCTAACACTTTGGGAGGACAAGGTGGGCAGATCGCTTCAGCTCACGAGTTCAAGCCCAGCCTGGCCAACATGGCAAAATCCTATCTCTACAAAAAATACAAAAAAATTAGCCAGGCGTGGTGGCATGTGCCTGTAGTCCCAGCTACTTGGTGGGGGCAGAGATGGAAGGATTGCTTGAGCCTTGGAGGTTGAGGATGCAGTGAGCTGAGATTGCACCACTACACTGCAGCCTGAGTGACAAAGTGAGACACTGCCTCAACAAGGAAAAAAAAAAAAATCAAAGTTCATCTAAATTCAATTGCCAGGTTTCTAATATTTTACCCTTGACTTCAATGCTGTAATGTAAAATACGGCTTTTTTTTTTTTTTTCTTTTGAGATGGAGTCTCGCTCTTGTTGCCCAGGCTGGAGTGCAATGGGGCAATCTCAGCTCACCGCAACCTCCACCTACTGTGTTCAAGTGATGCTCCTGCCTCAGCCTCCGTGTAGCTTGGATTACAGGCATGCGCCACCATGCCCGGCTGATTTCGTAGTTTTAGTAGAGATGGGGTTTCTCCATGTTGGTCAGGCTGGTCTCGAACTCCTGACCTCAGGTGATCCGCCCGCCTCGGCCTCCCAAAGTGCTGGGATTACAGGTGTGAGCCAATGTACCCAGCTGGGTTTTTTTTGTTTTTTGTTGTTTTTTGGTTTTTTGAGACGGAGTCTCACTGTTGTCCCCCAGGCTGCAGTGTAATGGCACAATCTCGGCTCACTGCAACCTCTGCCTTCCGGGTTCAAGCAATTCTCCTGCCTCAGCCTCCAGAGTAGCTGTGATTACAGGTGCACAACACCATGCCCGGCTAATTTTTGTATTTTTAGTAGAGACAGGGTTTCACCATGTTGGCCAGGCTGGTCTTGAAGTCCTGACTTCAAGTGATCCGCCCACCTCAGCCTCCCAAAGTGCTGGGATTACAAGCGTGAGCCACCGCGCCTGGCCAAAATACAGCTTCTTAGGAGGAAGGAAATAATCGGGAGTACTCTAGAGGGGGAATATACGGACCGGGGTAGACAGAGTGTTCATGTTTTAAACAACTGGGTGAAGCCACAGGCAGAAAGTGTGATTGACTGGGGACCATGTGCGTGACTGGGCTCGGCACCGTACCTGGGAGAACTTCAGCACCTCCACGCCAGCGTTCTCCAGCTCCTCCGTGCAGTTGGTGCTGATCATTGAATCAAAGCTTCTAAGTACCTGCACATCAACATAGGGATGGGTAATGGGAGAGGAAGGAAACTTGAGCAAAGACACACTACAAACTTAGCAGGGAAACTTCAGCATATCTTTCCCCTAATTATTTCCTCCTTACTTATGTCAATATTGGGAGTGGAGTATTAATAAATTCCCTACTTTCCTACATCACCACCACCATCTGCAACACATACGACTTCACCAACTCCTGTCTTACAGTTAAATGGACAGTCATTGTCCACTGTCTTCTCACAAAGCTTGCTTCTCTTTTCCTTAAGTCCAGGGAATAGAAAATCTCTTTCCACTTTTCGTATCTCAAGGTCTGCTTTCTCTGATATGATGGAAGGGAAGGTTCACTAGCAAAATCTTGTCTAGCCATAAATCTCAACAGGTTGGCCTTGAAGATATATCTATGATCATCCACATATGGAGTTCAGGTGGGAGGTCATGAGTTCTTCACAGAGTAGTTCTTTTCCTTTTCTTTTTCTTTCTTTCTTTTTTTTTTTGGAGAGGGAGTCTTGCTCTGCCACCCAGACTAGAGTGCAGGGGTACCATCTCAGCTCACTGCAACCTCCACCTCCCAGGTTCAAGCAATTCTCCTGCTTCATCCTTCCGAGGAGAAGGGATTACAAGCACCTGACATCATGCCTGGCTAATTTTTGTATATTTTTGGTAGAGACAGGGTTTCACCATGTTGACCAGGTTGACCTCAAACTCCTGACCTCAGGTGATACGCGCACCTCGGCTTCCCAAAGTGCTGGGATTATAGGCATGAGCCACCATGCCCGGCCAGAGTAGCTCTAAAATGGAGTTAACACTGGGACAGGAAAAAGGAGAATGAACTTGGTGCATTCGGGATGGGAGAGGGCAGGAAGCCCAAGTAGGAAGTGGCTCTCTGCAAAGTAGCCAATTTGACAGATGCAGGAATTGCCCCTTCTATTGACAGACTACTGCAGTTTATTTACGCATTTACATATAAATTCAAGCTAGGAACTCCTCTGCCTTTCCCCATCCTTCTAATCTGCTGGATATATTCTAGCAAAATAATACTTACCTGTGAAAAAATTTTTCAGGACCTAAACCTCGTGGAGCTAATTATATAATCAGTTTCCAAGTCACAGGGAAAGTTCCTTGAAGTACATACTGCCTAGGATTCTCAGAATCCCTGTCTCCCTCCATCTGCTCACATAAGAATTAGAATCAGGCCAGGTGCCGTGACTTACGCCTGTAATCCCAGCACTTTGGGAGGCCGAGACGGGCGGATCACGAGGTGAGCATCCTGCCTTGGCCTTGCAAGTGCTGGGATTACAGGTGTGAGCCATTGTGCCCGGGATCCCTGTATATTCTTAAGTGGAATGAAGGGAGGTAAGACTTGAGTTGGGAGAGTGGAGAAAATAGTCTACTGAAGGTCCTAAGATGGTTATGATGGTAGCCTCCACCATC